CCACATGTAAAAGCAGCTGGTGATCAACGCGGGCCATGCATCGCTGCCTTGTCTTGACAGCAGCTTAGATGAATAAAGGCCTCCTGCGTGGATTTCTGTGTGTCAACAAGCTCAAACACGGCCAATGCGTCAGAGTGTTTTATGACCACAGTAACTCAGAGGGCATTTTCTACCGTGATTGCGGGTGCTATGGTAAAGCATTAGGTTTGAAAGCAGAGCTGAGTAATCGCAGCGAGGACCAGCCCCGTGGACATGATGGCTTTTATGCTCAGCTTGCTCGGTGGAAAGCACATTACAGCCTAAGTAGCATCACTTAAAGTCGGGAGCGCTCTCAGTACTGCAAGGCAGCATGGCAAACAGGCTCATTTTTATTATATTCATGGTAGTTATGGGAAGCATTTCAACAAGTCCTTTCTCCAGCATAGTCCCAACCCTAGTTGTCAGTGTGCGAGGACATGTGGAGAGCAGATTTACGACTGTTCTAAAGAATCAGGGTTTGAAGGGGAGTCCTGTAGTGTTTCCATAGACTGTATAAAAGATGGATGTAGCAACCGGCCCTGAAAAATGAAGCCAACCCGAAAGTGTCAAAAACCTGCAATACCACTACGTCCGCTAGTCCTGGCTCCAAAAAGCCCTGGCTCCCATAGAAATGAATTGGAAAAGAAGTGATCACAGATGAGGAAATACTGCATTCCTACAGTTCAGGATTTTTTTTTTTTATTAGTTTTCATGGTCAAATCCAGAGGTCAGGTGGTCAATCTGAAAATAAATCAATACTGAATTTTTAAAAAATCGTCAACATTTTGCGGGGCAAGGGGCGTGGCTGGCTTGATTGACAGTCGGCAGCGACCATACAGATGAAGCGAACAGAAGGCGGTAAATGTGGGCGGGCAGAGAGGGCCCGCCTCTCAATCCATCTGACCAATCGCTGCTCCTATGGCTCCGCCCCCCTCCCACGATTTTTGTGTCACAACCAGGAAGTAGCAAAACCCTGGCTTCATTTTCTCAGTGCACAAACCAACGGGTGACGTCACGGTAGCTACGTCCATCTTTTATACAGTCTATGAGTGTTTCTACTATTCTAAAAACTCCCATCAGAGACTAACTTTAAAGGTCCCATTGTGGTGAAAATTCATTATTAGCATTTTGCGGTTGTTATAAACTTGGAGGGTTAAAGTATAAGCTGGTAAGTTATGTTTATTTACTTTCTAGAGCTGCTTCTGCTAACTTTAAAATGTCTGAACCACGAGCAAAATACACTAAATGTTCTGTTGTTGGCTGCAAGAGTGAACACAAGGATCTTCATGCACTCCCAGCAGTTGAGGAACTGAAGATCCAGAGGATTAGTTTTATTATTTATGACAATGTTACCACAACAAATGGAAACTCTTCAGTGCATTTAGTGGATAATGTGGCTAACGTCACCATTAGCTTCGATCGTACGCCCGCAGGTCAGAGCTCTGTGGAAAAGTGTAATGCTGAAAGACATTCAGAGATGGTGGAAAGTTTCAGAGCATTTAGACGCCAGTAAAGAAGAACTGGGTGGGTTACTGTGTTTTTATGTCCTCTCATGTGCTGTTGTGCAACTTAAGGTCAACTAGTCAACATCTGGTTACTTCTCCCCCGTGCTCCGTGCTCACATGTGCTGCATTTCAGTGCAGTCGAATTCCAAAAACAGCTGTTCGCATTTGCATGTTTTTCTGTTTCTGTTGTCAGTCAGTGGGACGAGTATGAAACCGTGACTGAAACGCAAGGCTGCATGTTAACCAGCAGTCACTTCAGACCGACTGATTTCACAACCACAACGTTGTCCGACAGACTCACCAAACACAATTCGGTGGCATTTCTGAGACAAATGATGATTCAGAGAGGAAGTTGAAAGCAATAGGAAGTCCTGGTCGGACACACTTACTCAGATCTGGGTCAGATGCCATGCAGTCAGTTTGTTTCCTTCACGCTGTCAACCACAGATGGAGAGAGAGAGTCTTCTTCCTGAAATAGACGTGGACGCCATCCGCTCAGCTGCATTTAAATCCAAAGATGCTGAAGCAGCTCATTACAACAGGGCTGAAACCAAGAGTCATACAGTCATGGTGAAATGAGCCATCTCTGTGGTATTTTTAGCTGAAAGAATAAAAGGCCGAACATGTGAGTAATTTTCTGAAAAAGGGCGCGATATGGGACGTTTTCAAGGACTTCTAAGAAACTTCTTGCAACATGATAAAGGAATGCCTGTGTTATTTTTTCAGTTAATGGTTTGATCTTTAAAAGTTCCCTGAAAACGAAGCCACCCTCAGAGAGCTTGTATTTTTTTTGATTGACTCATTGATCATTTGAGCCATAATGTTTGTGCCAAAGCAATAAAAAATGAGTGACTGGTTGGCCACACATGCATATAGGACACACATTTATCTTTTGCCCTGCTGTCCTCTTTGACACTTCAAACACTGGTCACATATGTTTATAAAGAAATCACCTTGAAGGGGCTTTTCATAACATAACCTTTTCATATGCTACAGCTGTTTAGTCACTGCGAGTTATGCAGAAGACACTTTTTCCTTCAACACTCTCCCTCCACTGTCACCCGTCTTCCTTCAGCTCCAGCTTGTGTCCAGACAGGTGTAACAGACAACACAAAGACTTCCAATAGGTTTTTCCCATCTTGTCTCTCTCTCAAATTAAAATTAAAACCAAAAGCATTGCAAACAATAAATCTTCTAATTAATAATTTGCTGCAAAATGCCAGCTTGGTAAAATGAACACCACGAATGCCTGACGTGTATTCCAAGAATCTACATAAACACGTGCATGTTCTGTTACGTTCCCATGACCATGTCCTCATTGTTCTCTTTCTATCTGAGATTAACAAGCATTTGTGGCTAAGGACCAGACAAGGATGCTGCTTAGCAGAAAGCAACCCACAGTCTGTGTCTATAAATAGACCTGCCAATTTCTCTCCACTCGCGCACACACATCGAACAACAACAGCCTCCAGAGATGTCTGTCAGACTTGCCAGTTTCATCGGAAGTGTCTTCTTTCTTTCTTTTTTTCCTGCTTTTTTCACCATTTTTTTGTAGTCCGATTACATTAGCTATCACTATGTGTTATTCAGTGGGACCTTTTAAGACAGCCAGTGAAAGATTGGTGGTGCAAATTAGGTCTTTTAATTTAACTACAAAAAATAGTGTGGGTTAATTCTTAGAATGTAAAAATAAATGACTGCACTGTTCATAACACAGTTGATGACTTTATGGATTTGGCTCAGTCTCACTGCACCTCCCATTACAATATTTCTGGTAGCAAATAGCTTTTTTTTAGTGAACATAGTGGAGCATTTGGCAGTTAAAAAAGTCAAATATTTCTATCAGGACTTGGCAGAGTTGGTAGAGCGAAACTGAGAGCAAATATTGGACTTCTCCATCAGCCAGAAACTCGAGATGCAAAACATCTGTTTGATGTGTGAATAGGCAACTGTTTGCTGACACATTAATCAACTTAAAGGGCCCATATTGAGCACATGGTTTCTAATTTTGCTTTGGGGCTCTACTAGAATACGTTTGCATGCTTTAATGTTCAATAAAAGCGTAATTTATCTACACATTTCTGCAGCAGCTCTTCTCGCCCTCTGTCTGAAACGCTCCTGCCCCTTTAAGACCCTCTTGAAAAGCCCGCTCTGCTCTGATTGGTCCAATGAAACACAGGTTACAAATTATAAATCCAGGTCTGGGACTGGAGAAGCATAAGCGGCTCTAGCGAGGAAATAATAGCGGACTGCGAGGAAGCTGCTCATTCTTTGGTTGAAGGTCAAACTAGCCGCTAGGGAGGAGTTGTGCAAATGTGTGACATCGCTAAGTAACAGAAAAAAAGAGCCGGGACATAAAATGAGGTGTTTCAGGCAGGTAAGCAGCTGTTTTCCATGGGAGAGATAAATTACTCAGATTTTGGGCGACCTTTTGCAAGCACCAAAACCCAAAATGCACAATTTGAGCTCTTTGAAAAGTAGTGATAACACGTCAGGTACTGCAGGTTTAAACTGCTGTGTAAGCAGTGACTTTAATTCAGGGCATTCGCTACCATTTGTTTGCATTTTTTCTTGTTCAAAAGACAAGGTGGTATTTTTGACTCACTACTTTAAGGCCAAGCAACAAATACATGCATCACAGACTCAGTGTTCCCATGTGGACAAGACTTTGAACCAGTGTTTGCAGGGTCTAAACACTGTGTTTACGATGAAAAACACAACATACTGATTTTTGGTGTGGGGTATACATGGGCCTACACATGGGAACACACACTATATTTCTAATGGGATTTACACCAAGTTGTGTTTATTTATAGGGTCTGGCTGGTGGATGAAAAAGTGTGGTTTCTTATACTGATTGTCAACAACACAAACCAGCAACTGCTGCACCAGAAGCCTGTAAAACTGTCCTGAAAAACACCCGTACGATGTGACTGTCCCTAATTATTAGCGAGCTGCGTTTTTGTAGCATCTCTCTCTGTGGTCTGCCTGGTTAAATACAGCTGAATCAGACACACACACACACACAGCTTTGTTCATGTAGGTACAAACATCTTATTCACCCAGACGCGAGTGTCCCGACGCATCAGGACGCTCCCAGCAGAGCGGCGCCTCAATTTTTTTTTCTTGTTTGATCTTCACCACGAACACAAAGCGCAGAAACACGACCGCTTCCCTTCGGTGTGCAGACGGAAACCGCAGGCTGTGGCTCCGGCTAATTGTTCCGATCCTGCAGCGAGCCGTAATAACCATGAAAGGCTGCAGTGCTGTTTCATCCAGCAATAAGCATCTGATGTCAGCTTTCATTCGACCGCTTGTCCCAGACCACAGCTGGTGAATCACAGCAAGTGGCGCATCTGTTGCTTGTTGCAAAATCTTCACTTGGAAAAATGTCATGCTGAAAGTATGTCTCCAGATAGAGTTCTTCTAAAAGGACAAATAGTGACTCATCCTGATTATTTCACACCCCTCTTCCAGGGTGATTAATGCTGGTAAGAGTGCGCTAAACGAGGACCAGGCCTGCTGCGAGGTGGTGGTGGCCAGAAAGAGGCCGATGAGCTACTGCCCCCCCTCCACCCCCAGCAAGACCCCCACCGCCAAGAGACGCAACTCGCTGCCCAACGGAGAAGGCCTGGGGCTGCGAATGGAGCACAGCAAACTGGGAGAGGTAAGAACGTACAGTTAACACAAGTACACACTCCATTAAACGCAGCGCACAGGGTGTGCAGTGTGCTGCTTTTATGAACAGCTTCTGCTCACAGGCAAACACAGGAAGCAGGGAACTCAGTGGTGGAGCTGCTCACTGGTAAACAACTAGAAACCTGGAAAAATATTTCCGTATAAATGCATAAAGGAATATTTCTTCTTAGCGCTCTTGCTATTAATTGCATGAGAATTGATTCTACTGTGATGTCTGTCTGTCAAATATGCTACTATATGCTACTGTTTGGAGATGATACCCTTAATTATAGCCAAGTACACTGATGCACACACACGCTGTAGGTACTCATAGACACCATTGTTATTTACTGTTCCATGCATGCACACTACTGCCCAGCATGTGCACTATTGCCCTTATGACGTAGTTAGCGTGCAGACTGTGTTGACGAATTTTACCCATAGTCCTCATGCAGAGCTTTCTGTAGAGGAATGTTTATTAGTATTCCGGTGTACGCTGGGCTTACCAACACAGAGCATCAGTCTGTGAACGTAACACAGGACGTTTACACAGTACAACGTTTTATACAGTTGGGAGGGGACAGTATGTAAATGCAAAAAAAAGAGCGGTGTTCAGTTTGTGTTTAATTGCTAATCAATGACAAATGGTGATGGAACCAAGGGGTCTGGTCGACAACAAAAGGTAAGGGAGTTATCAATGCCAATCAGTGATGGAATAAAGGAGTGACACTAGGGGTAGGATGTTGCCAAAGGATGAATGTGAGGCTGCTCCCAGGTGAGATGTTTAAATGTGCGTCACGCCCATAGACTGTATAAAAGATGGACGTAGCAACCGGCCCTGAAAAATGAAGCCAACCCGGAAGTGTCAAAAACCTACGTCCACTAGCTACTGGCTCCTAAAAGCCTTGGCTTCCATAGACTTGAATTGGAAAAGAAGTGATCACAGATCACGAAATACCACATTCCTACAGCTCAGGATTTTTTTCTTATTAGTTTTCATAGTCAAGTCCAGTGATCAGGTGGCCAATCTGAAAATAAATCAAAACTGAATTTTTAAAAAATCGGCAACATTTTGCGGGGCAAGGGGCGTGGCTGGCTTGATTGACAGTCGGCAGCGACGATGCAGACGAAGCGAGCAGAAGGCGGTAAATGTGGGCGGGCAGAGAGGGCTCGCCTCTCAGCCCAAACTTTGTGTCTGGGAACTGGTACGCTACAATGGCAGGAGCACGCATGCATGCAATGCATACAGTTGAAACCAGAAGTTTACATACACTGTATAAAAAGACAAAACCTTTCTTTTTGTGTCACCATTATATCAGAGTAAACTTTCCCTGTTTAGGTCAGTTAGGATTACCAAAATTATTTCTATTTGCTAAATGCCAAAATAACGAGAAAGAGAATTGTTTATTACTTTCTTCAAACTCAGAAGTTTACATATATTTCCTTAGAATTTGGTAGCCTAACCTTAACCATGACAAGAAGGAACCAGAGGGAATTAACAACGTGCGACGGCCAGTGCATTTCCTTTAACTACCCGCCCCTAACTACGGACACGGCAGGGGAAGTTACCGAGACAGATTCCAACACGAACCGAGACAGCAAGTCCAGGAAAGTAATTTAATCAACCACTAAAGAAAACAAGACAAAATTTCAAAACATATTCCCAAAAGGTGACCACGACTTCATTCAGGAACGCAAACCAAAATGGACCGAAAAAAATCAGAAACTAAAACCCCTTCTGGTAAANCAACCAGGAAGTAGCAAAAGCCTGGCTTCATTTTCTCAGTGCAGAAACCAACGGGTGACGTCACGGTAGCTACGTCCATCTTTTATACAGTCTATGGTCATGCTGACCTGAATGGACAGTCACGGAGGCTGAAAGTATAAAGTAGGTGTTAAATTGCGACTATGCTACGTGAGCAATAGTACACATGCTCAGCAGCGGTGTGAATACGTAGATACAAGCAAATGTATGCAACAAAGCATTTCAAGCGGACTCCCAAAAGTGGCCTAATAGGAACAACTGTTTTGTCAGAGACCTCCCGAACCCCTCCTCACACATCTACATGCTGGGCAAAATGTCACTGCAACGACACTGCAATGGCAGTAACGTGCATCCTTGAGTCTTCCAAGCGGACTCCTGCAGACTAGAAAAGTAGTCTAATAGTAACGGTTCATGAGTGTTCACTGCTGTCCATGTCCATGCTAGAGTATAATGAGGATATGATGCTGGTGCTTTACTTTTTACAAGAGTTCATGTGACTTTATTGTACGCTTGCAGCCCAAACTTTGTGCCTGGAAGCTGGTACGCTACAATGGCAGTAGCATGGATGCAATACACTGTATAAAAGGACAAAACCTATTTTTTTGTGTCACCATCTGACATTATATCAGAGTAAACTTTTCCTGTTAAGGTCAGTTAGGATTACCAAAATTATTTTTATTTGCTAAATGCCAGAATAACAAGAAAGAGAATTGTTTATTACTTTGTTCAAACTCAGAAATTTACATACATTTCCTTAGAATTTGGTAGCCTAACCCTAACCATGACAAGAAGGAACCAGAGGGAATTAACAACGTGCAACAGCCAGTGCATTTCCTTTAACTACCCGCCCCTAACTACGGACACGGCAGGGGAAGTTACCAAGACAGATTCCAACACGAACCGAGACAGCAAGTCCAGGAAAGTGATTTAATCAACCACTAAAGAAAACAAGACAAAATTCCAAAACATATTCCCAAAAGGTGACCACGACTTCATTCAGGAACGCAAACCAAAATGGACCGAAAAAAATCAGAAACTAAAACCCCTTCTGGTAAACAGTATGACACCAGCCAGGACAAAATGGATTAATCAGCTATCGAAGAAAACAAAGAAGAAAAGTAGACAAACTTCGAAGGCGGATGCCCCAAAAAAAGAGACTACAATCTCTATTCAAGAGCACAAATCAGAACAAACCCTAACCTGACGGAGAAAGTCAGAAACCAAACCTCCACGGGGAAACAATATGACACTAACCATGACAATAAGGAACTAGAGAGTATTGACAATGCGTGACGGCCATTTCCTTTAACTACCCACCCCAAGCTGCGTTGTCGACGGACACGGCAGGGGAGGTTATCGAGACAGATTTCCAAAAACTTAACCCATCGCCTTTAAACTGTGTAACTTGGGTCAGACGTTTTGGGTTTCCTTCCACAAGCTTCTCGCAATAGTTTGATGAATTCTGGCCCATTCCTCCTGACAGAACTGGTGTAACTGAGTCAGGTTTGTTGGCCACCTTGCTCCACACGCCTTTTCAGCTCTGCCCACAAATTTTCTAGAGCATTGAGATCAGGGCTTTGTGATGGCCACTGCAAAACATTGACCTTGAAAGTAATACAAAAATTCTCTCTCTCGGTATTCTTTAGCAAATAGAAGTAATGTTAGTAATCCTAACTGACCTAAAACGGGAAAGGTTTGGTCTGATCTAATGTCAGAAAGTGAGAGAAAGAAGGTTTTATGTCTTTCTTTACAGTAAACTTCTGGTTTCAACTGTAGATATGAAATGTTGTATGCAACCGAGTCTTCCAAAAAGACCCTCACGGACAGGAAAAGTCGTGTAGCAGCAACAACTGTGGGTCTTGTGGGCGTCCACAGCTGTCTGTGTGCACATTTGCACTGGAGTATAATCAGAGCTTAAGGCCAGTGTTCTGTTCTCTACATCTGCAAGCTAACAAGGTTCTACATGCAGCTCACAATTTGTGTCCACGCGGCGACTACGCTACAAGGGCGGTGGTGTAGATATGACCCACTGGTTCATGGATGCTACAGAGTCTTCCCAGCGGACCCTCACGGACTGTTAATTCGTGACCAGAGTATAATCGAGGCTTAACACCAGACTTACATCTGCGAGCAGGTTCCACCAGAAATTCCCCAAGTTTCCCCAAATCCCTTGTGACATGCCGCCCAAAATTTCCCAAGTGTTCCACCCAAGCAAACTCGTTAGCAGTATAATAATAACGACCAGTGTGCTCGAGGGTTAACAGCCCCTCCAATCTCACCGATCAACTCAGTGATTAACTCAGACAAAAAGCGGTAGAACAACTTGTGCTTGCATGTGAGATGATGGGCCACTGAAACAACACATTTTTACATTTTGCTTTTTTGTGTAGTTTGATCAAAGAGATATAAAAGTGTTAATTTATGAGCTGTAGAGGCGTTAATGAGCAGATTTTGTTACCAGGCGGAGGCTTGCTGCTGTTTCCCTTTTGTGAAGAACATGTAGTGTCTTAGAGAGAGTGGATCTGATCTGGAAAAGCTAAAGAACAGATGGTTGTATGTTCTCACACTGGAACTCTCATTTAGGGCCGTCCTTCCATCATACTGCCTTTGTTCAGCGTTTCCTCCCCAGTCAGCCACATAAACCTGTCAGAACCTCCGTGTGGGACAAAACAGATGAGACAGTGATGTCATTTTTAACCCGAATTTGTGCTTTCGAACAAATCCCGACGGTGTTTGTGTGATGTGTTTTGTTGCTAAGGTTACGCCCTCTGTGTTGTGTTTGAAAGTGTTAATGGAGGCCAAGTACCAGCGTCTAAGAACTGAAATATAACTGTGGAATTATGCAGGGGTTTTCCTGCGTGGAGAAATCTTCGATGCTCCCAGAAAAACAAGCTGACACCCCCATGAATGATGCAGTTAATCCTCTCTTGCTCCAACCATCGACACATAAGCTCACCTTCCTCGCCTCTTTAATGATATCTTTCAATTTCTGCTTCCATCTTGGCTCCGATGAGGTTATTGACTCTTGCCGCTCCGGGTGTTTTGAATTTTGGTTCGAGTGAAGTGCTGAACTTTTTGAAGGCAACCGAGTCACATAGTCGTGTAGACATCCCGGTATCAATAAACATATTCACCAATGCTTGTTCC